AAGACATGTACCCGCCCTCTACAGGGGGCAGCCCATGCCCAAACCCAGGAGGTAAACCCATTCATTCTTGAGCGGAGAAGAGCCAATACCCCAGACCCGGCCCAGGCCATGCCCCGCCGACAGGACACCCCCCCACCATGAAGAGGACACGCCACCGACCACCCCCACACACCGCCAACAACCAAGCACGCACCCCCAGCTGACCGCCCGCCAGGCCCCGGCAGCCACCCCGGCCAGCGGGCCAACCATGGCACCCAAGAGCCAAGCTCAGGGGGTCCAAACAACCCCAGGGAGAGCACAGCGCCAGCACCGCCCATGGCAACCCCCAGACCCTGAACCCCCACATAGTCCTGGTCAACACCCGACGGCCTGCCCTTCTCCCGGATCCCACCCCCGGAATGGCAGTCAGGGAACTAGGTGGGTAGGAAGAGGAAAAAATAAATAAATAAATAAATTAAAAAAATAATAATAATAAATAAATAAATAAATAAATAAATAAAAAATAATAATAATAATAAGACCCCGACACATACACCCCCACCCCTAGATGTGCTGTTGATGTGTGTTGTTGTATAGTGCCATTAAAAAGGAAAGAAGAAGGAGCAAAGGCTGGCATGGTGCCAGTTTCCCCTCCACCCCAACTCTATCCAAACCCTAGTGTCTAAATGCAACCGTTGTAAGTGAGCACAGGCACAGGGGGTGAGAGTAAGGTCATCCCACCACCCATAGCCATGTGCCCACCTCAAGTTCCTATATATGAATGTCATGAGGATGTTATGAATGAATGTCTAAGGTGTACAATAAAATTGAGTCCCAGGTGGCTATGGTCAAAAAAGATGTAAAATTGTTGCAGCACACCCGAGCCCAAACAACCCTAAATGTATGGAATTGAAATGAAGAGGGTGGAGGTGCATGGTGAGGGATGGGGAGAAATAACTGTGAGAGCAAATGCTCCCACAGGGAGTCAGCTCCCCCACTGACCCAACAGCCCCCCCCCCCCCCAGCTCCCCAAGGTCCACCCAGGGATTGAGGCCAAGACACCTCTCCATCTAGCCCGACCGCCAGGCCCGCTGCGATATTTCATTCTAATTGAAGGCAACTCATCGGCATGGTTCACCACTGGTATACACCCAGCCAGGAATTTCTCAGCTCATGTCAGGATCATGTTGTTGCTTTTGCTCTTTTTTTCCTTCCAAAAATCTGTTTGAATAAAAATGTTTTATAGTTTTCACGTCTGAGAGATTCTCTGCTAAGGATTTAGTTTAAGGTGTGATCATTAAGGCGTTGATATATCATAGGGAATTATGATCAAATTGAACTGCAGGAGTCGGCATAAGCGGTTTCCGGTTGTCCAAGATGACTTATTTTCATCTCGAACAACCAGATTTTGTCAGGAGGGTGTCCGCTGGACTTATGTCTACCCCTGGAACTGTGAGTTGTCTAAACATTCCCGCTCCTGGTCATAATTCATGACAAAAGTTGTATTTATACTTTGACTGAAGCTGCTGTTAAAGCCTGATGATAGAGCTGTTTGTTTGGCAGCCAGCAGGCACCAGCAGAGTGTTGGGTTTGCACCGTCTCTCTCTCAAGGAAGTACACAGAAAGTGGTTTAAGTGTACAGCCTCTGCTGGAAGAGGACACACACAGAGCTGTTTGTGATGAATTATTCCCACATTTCATCACAGCCCAAATGGGACTTTAATCAGATTCATATTTTCCTGTTTTCCAACACTGGTTTGATCCATGGAATGTAATGTTTGTTTTCTGTCAAATTAGAAAATCTTCTCACAGCTTTTTTTCCTTCAGCAGTTGTTTACAATATTCCTTTGATGAGGAGCTTGTAGAATATTGGACTTAATCTGTTCATCATCCTCTCTCCAAGGGTTTATCATAACAAGAATGTGATAGGATTTCTCCAAGTCCGACCCAAGATGTGTTTTTACATCAGAACAGAGGCTCCAGTTTAATCTAATAAACCTCTAAGAAAGCTTAGGGCCAGTCCAGGTCCAGTTGAAAACAGCCGGTTCTGTTCACTGATATTAAGAATGAAGAGGTCACAGACATCTGTTCTGTAGGACCAATGACCCATTTACGCCATCACACAAATCATGAACTGGTTCTGAACATAGAGATACACAGACCAGATAACAGCAGAGGTTTGTGACTGCTCCATCAGAAAGAAGCAAATGTTAATAAACACGTGATTTTAAAAATGTATGTTTTTGTGGGAGGAGTTTGGTGAGGCCTTGGATAATGACTCTCGGCCGGCTCCAAGGAGATTCTGGCAAACCATCATGTGGCTGAGGAGGGGAAAGCAGCACTTTACTAACACTGTGTTCAGTGAAGGTGGGGTGCTGCTAACCTCTTTTTTTGTTGTTGTTTTCATTTACCCTTTATTTATACAGGTAGTCTCATTGAGCCACGAGAACTCATTTTCAAGAGAGACCTGTTTAGGGAGCAGATGGGGGTTAAGGGACCTCAACCAGTGATGTCGTCGGGAGGTAGAAGGAATACTTCTCGGGCCTTCTCAATCCCACCGTCACGTCTTCCATGGAGGAAGCTGAGTCGGGGGACTTTGGGGTTGGTCCGTCCATAACTGTGGCTGAAGTCGCTGATGTAGTTAAAAAGCTCAGAGGCGGCAGGGCTCTGGGAGTGGATGAGATTCACCCTGATTTCCTTAAGGCTCTGGACGTTGTGTTGCTATCTTGGTTGACACACCTTTGCAACATTGCGTGGACATCGGGGGCAGTGCGACTGGATTGGCAGACTGGGGTGGTGGTTCCCCTCTTCAAAAAGGGGGATCGGAGGGTGTGCTCCAATTATAGGGACATTACTCTCCTTAGTCTCCCTGGTAAGGTCTATTCAGGGGTACTGGAGAAGCGAGTCCGATCATTGGTCGAACCTCATTTCCAGGAGGAACAATGTAGGTTCCATCATGGCCGTGGAACATTGAATCAGCTCTTTACACTCACTAGGGTCCTCAAAGGGTCATGGGAGTTTGCTCATCCAGTCTACATGTTGTTGTTGGTGGTGGGGTGCTCCCCCAGAGAATTTAGGATAAAGTGGATGCCATTTCCTGCATTCTGGTGTATTTTACAAAGGTATATAATAGGTTAACATGAAATAAAAGATGTAAACGCTGTTATTGAAATCTCTGACTGCAAAGCTGCAGCTCTGCAGGTAAGGGGCGTTCACGTCAGGACAAATTCAGGTCGCTGACTGGTCAGTTGCTGATTGGTCAGTTGCTGACTGGTCAGTTGCTGATTGGTCAGTTGCTGACTGGTCAGTTGCTGATTGGTCAGTTGCTGACTGGTCAGTTGCTGATTGGTCAGTTGCTGATTGGTCAGTTGCTGACTGGTTAGTTGCTGATTGGTCAGTTGCTGATTGGTCAGTTGCTGATTGGTCAGTTGCTGACCTGACTGACAGGTGGCACAACTTGTGCAAAAAAAATCATAAAATTTTACTGGCCTGTTTAAGAATGTCATCATTTATTCCATATTTATTCAACATTTATTCAACATTTTGGTGAATCTAAGGTTTGAGAACTGTTTCCTTACACAATCCTAATGATGGTTCCTTTATTTTTCAGGGGTGCTGAGTTAAAATTTAGGGGTTCTTGAGCACCCCCAAAAAGAGACTAAAATCACCACTGAAGCCAATTCATATTTATAATTTACTTTTAAACACTTTATGGTTAATATGTAGTTTCTATGGTCCAGATGTAATTTTTCATAGTTCATGCATAGTTTCTATGCAGTATAAATAGCAGCAGAGTAGATGTGGTACATTTGTCCTCCATCAGTCTAAGACTATAACAAAAGTTAGAAGGAGAGATCAGACTTCTCCAGTTTTAGCTTCTCACCATTGGCTTCTTGTCAGAATTTACAATCTTACTTCTAACATACAAAGCTCTCAACAACCTAGCTCCATCATATATTAGAGATCTTACTGTTCCATATTTTCTTAACAAAGCACTTCACTGCAGGTTTACTTGTGATTCCTAGTGTTTTCAAAAGTAGAATGAGGCAGAGCTTTCAGTTATCAGGCTCCTCTCTTGTTGAACCAACTTCCAGTTTCTGTCTGTGAGGCTGAGACTCTAAGACCAGGCTGAAGACTCTTTTAGACTTTTTAGATAAATCCTATAGTTAGGGTTGGCTTGGATTTCCTGAGCTATTCCTTTGTTTTGTTGTTAGAACATCCCATAATGATAAATGAACACTTGGAGAGGCTGTATTGTTTTAGAGACAATATAGAAATAACTTTTGTTTGACTGATTTAAAACCTGTTTGGACTAACCTGTGATATGAATCGTCTTCTGTTTTTCTTCTGTAGAACGTACTTTGGACATGCATCAACTCTACACTCCCAGGTAAGACACAAGACAAGAAAGACATGCGGGACAATAAAGGCCAGCTCCAACTCTGGTGCCCTCTAGAGGTTCAATCATAAACCTCTTGTTTGCACTAGGAGGGATGTATTGAGCTGCCTTTTAAATGTGAAGTAGACAGATAGTCACTCAAGTGGTGGCAAAAAAAATATAACATAATGTTGGTCTGTCAAAGAAAACTGGACTGGCGTCCATTCTAAAGTAAACCTTTGGACCTTGTAAATCCAAGACAATCAGTTCATTTGTGTTTGTCTGCCTTAGACTGAGACAGGTAAAGCTGCTTCTGACCTCTGAACAGCTGATCTGAGATCAGGCTGTGCATCAAAGTTCTCTGCCAGTCAGTGGTAGTCTAATAAAGTCTAACCCCCCACCCCCCACAGGTTGAGGAACATTTGAACTTGTTGTACCTTATGGACCTGCTAAGCCCTAGTGCTTTGACGGCCATAGGAATGTGTTAGAATTACACCCATTAAGGGAAAGTTTTCCTCACATGTCTGTGATATTAAATGTTCAGATCTTCTCCTGATTCCCTCTGGTGGTGTACCAGCTTCACATACTGCGCCTGCAGAACTCTCTGCAGAACCAAAGCCCCATGAATAAGTCCAGATGATCTGTGTATTTATGGCCTTCAATAAGGCTGGTGTCGGCGTTTGTCTGTGAGACGTCTCCTTGGTATGGTTCTGATGTTTGGTTCTGCTCCAGGTGTTTCCAGGAAGACTGACGGCTGGGTGGGGCTCGGCTGCTGTGAGTTGGCCATCGCCTCAGAGTGTCGAAGGGAATGTAGACAGGTGAGATGCAGAACGCAAATGTTTCACAGCTGAAACCAGATGTTTGCATACGCTGTGTGAAAAGACACAGCAGTTTTCAAACTGTCATACAATAACTCAGTCTAAACCTTTTCTATTTTAGTTAGAATTCACAAAATTACTTCTTTTTGACAAATGCACAAAAAATGAGAGCAAAATTGTATTACTTTCTTCAGAGTCATAAGTTTGCAAGACTTTTATCTGCATTGCTTTCACACTGTCTGACTTTGGTCAAATATTTTGGGTTTCTGTAGCTGCCACTGTCATGCTTTACAATCAGGATGGTGTTCGCAGTTTCCTCCATTTTCCTCCAAATGTAGCGACGGTCATTCTGTCCAAAGTTTAGTTTTGCTTTCGTCAGACCACAGGACATGTCTTCAGACATTAAGATCTTTGGTCCTGTGTGGACAAACAGTAATCTGTCTTTTTATATTGTTTTGGAGTGATGTCTTTGTTCTCCCTGAGTGTCTTTCAGTCCACGTTGCTCCAGGACTTATTTCTCTGCACATAAAGACTGATGAGCTTCAACTGCATTTTCACAAAGTCTGCAGCTTTTGACTTGGGGTTGATCCAAACATTTAATACAAGAATACATTCATCTCAGGAACATACACTCGCAACTGATACACTATAGATTTCTGCGGGCAGTGGAAGATGATGTGTCTGTCTGTATTGTCCGTTGAGGATGTAGAAGACGCATACATAATTGGATTTATGATAACAGGTTTTCTGCGTTTTGGAGGTGGCGTGTATCTGGCATATCGACAAATTCGGAAGACATCAGCAGCTGTTCTGGCAATTGTGAGGTTGCCTACCTTGTGTGAAGGAATGTGCCATGCGTTGAGCATTCAGGCTCAGTTGCTTTGTGAGCTAAGCCGTAAGCTGGACACTATTTCTGAGAATCTCAGGCCATTTATGGCTCCTGGAACTCGCTGGCGTGAAGGAATTGACCTTGGAGAAGACTACAAACACCGCCCGGCGGAGTGACCACAAAATTTGTCTGTTTGGAGTCGCCATTTGAAAAGTACCAGCAGAACTTATGAAGGCAGACCAAAAAATCAAGCAGAGTTGGCCTGTCCCCCAAAAAATGTTCTTATCTGAATCTGGCTTCCCTGCTTGGCCTTGAATAGTCCATCTATCTCAAATTTATCTTGGAGGTTTTGTGAATAAGAATGAACAAGAAGCTCTTCTCTGCATTTGAACTGGATCCTGCTGGAACAGGATCCGGGAACGCTTGTTTTGAAAGGGTGCGTTCCGACAAATGTTTGCATGGATCCAGTAACTCTCAGGCTTACTAATAATAAAGTTATAAACAGATATGACTGCCTTGAACTAATAAAACTTATATTGGATATGTAAACTGAAAGTAAATGAACACTAATTTTAAACACAAAAGACAACACAACAGTTAAATATTGGATCCAGGACAGTGGCCCCATACTGAGAGATCGTTTTGATCGAACAGACTGGCAGGTTTTCAGAGAAGCTGCTGAAAATGGAGGATCGCTTGATCTGGACCAATACACATCCTCAGTTCTGGGTTACATCAGTACATGTACTGACACTGTCTCCACCATCAGATATGTTAAAAGCTACCCAACCAGAAAACCTTGGCTGAATGCAGAGGTGCACACCCTGCTGGAAGCCAGGAACACTGCCTTCAGGTCTGGAAACGCAGAGGCGATGAGTAGGACAAGGAAAGAGCTGGTTGCTGGTATTGCTATTATTTTTTTTTTGTTTTGTTTTGCTACCTTTTCCTTTTAGCCATCCTATTTGTTTAAAAAAAAAAAACTGTAGTATGCTTTTTTATAACTGTTTATTGTTGTTGCTGTTGTCCATTGTTGTCATCTTTCTTTGTTGAAATCAGGTCTCTCTTGTAAATGAGTCCTCGAGGCTCAATGGGATTTACCTGTATAAATAAAGGTTGATTGATTGATTGATTAAAAAGGCCAAGGCCACATATGCACAGAGGATCAAGAGTCAATTCACCTCACAAGACCATGTGGAGGGGCATTAAGTGCATAACAGATTATAAACGAAGGAGTGAACAATGCCCTAAAGACCCATCACTGCCTGATGCCCTCAACAAGTTCTATGCACTCTTTGAAGACCCGAACAGACCACCCAGCACCAGACTCGCCTCACCACGGGATGAAGAGCATCTCAGCGTGACCTCGGCCGAAGTAAGGAGCACCTTCAGAAGGATTAATCTGCACAAGGCAACCAGCCCAGACAACATCCTAGGGAAAGTGTTGAAAGAATGTGCCGATCAGCTCTGCGAGGTGGTGGCAGACATATTTAACACCTCACTTACCCTGGAGACAGTTCCCAACTGCCTGAAGACTGCCACCATCATCCCAGTCCCAAAAAGCTCTACAGTGACTGGGCTGAATGACTATCGGCTAGTGGCCCTCACCCCGATAGTCGCTAAATGCTTCGAAAAACTGGTCATGATTCACATCAAAACAACCATCAACATCAACGAGGACTCTCACCAGTATGCATACCGTGAGAACCGATCAACAGAGGATGCCATCTCCTCTGTGGTCCACACTGCTCTCATCCACCTGGAGCAGAAAAACTCTTATGTCCGTATGCTCTTTGTGGTCTTCCGCCACATCCGCCTTCAATACCATGATCCCCCAAACCCTGATGGACAAACCATTCACACTAGGACTAAGCCCCTCCATTTGCAACTGGGTCCTAGACTTCTTAACAAACAAAATCGTAGTCAGTGAAGATCTACAACTTCTGCTCCTCCCCCATAACCCTCAGCACTGGCTCTCCTCAGGGATGTGTGTTGAGCCCCCTCCTGCTTACTCTGCTCACATATGATTGTGCAGCTACCAGTCCAGGCTGTCATATTGTAAAGTTTGCAGATGATACAGCAGTGGTGGGATGCATCACAAACAATGATGAGTCCAGCTACAGGCAGGAGGTGGAACACCTGGAGGGCTTGTGCAAAAAGAATAACCTTCACATCAATGTGAAGAAGACAAAAGAGATGATTGTGGGCTTCAGAAGGAACAAACGAACCTACACCCCTTTGAACATAAGAGGATCTGCGGTGGAAGTGGTCTCCAGCTACAAGTACTTGGGTGTACACATGAATGACAACCTCAGCTGGGACAACCACACCACCAGCCTGATCAAGAAAGCTCATCAGAGACTCTACTTCCTCAGGCAACTGAGACGAGCTGGTCTAGGAAGCTCAGTCCTCACCTCCTTCTACAGGTGTGCAGTGGAGAGCATCCTGTGCTCCAGCATCAACGTGTGGCATGGAGGCTGCACAGCTGCAGAAAGAAAAGCTTTGCAGAGAGTGGTGAAGGCTGCACAGAAGATGTTGGAGTCAGCCTCCCAACCATCACAGACATTTACACCTCCAGATGCAGGAAGAGGGCCACTTGCATCATGAAGGACCCCACTCACCCAGCACACACACTTTTTGCCCCACTCCCCTCAGGAAGGAGGTTGAGGAGCATTATGTGTAGAATCAATAGACTGAGGAACAGCTTCTACCCTGAGGCTGTTAGACTCATGAATAAATAAACCAGAATAATCACTGTGAAAAATCACATCATGTTGCTGCTGATCTGTTTCATGCTGATGTGTTCATGCGTGCTCATCTGCTCACACAGACTCGTGTTCATGTTTGTGCTGATGTTCGACGTAATGTTTTTATGCTATTAGTGCTTAGTGTATTTTTAGTTGATGTTTTTCTTAGTTCACATCTTAGATGTTATCATTGTTTTTCTTGTACATTTTATTGTTAGATGTAACTGGGACCCAGCAGCACGGTGGCGCAACTGGTAGAGCTGCTGCCTCTCAGCGAGCAGGTCCTCGGTTCAAACTCTGGTCCAGGGGCCTTTCTGGGTGGAGTTTGCATGTTCTCTCCGTGCATGCGTGGGTTTTCTCCGGGTGCTCCGGTTTCCTCCCACAGACCAAAAACATGCATGTTAGGCTGATTGGTAACTCTAAATTGTCCCTAGGTGTGAGTGAGAGAGTGAATGGTTGTTTGTCTCGTTTGTCTCTATGTGTCCCTGTGATGGACTTGTGACCCGTCCAGGGTGTACCCCGCCCCTCGCACAGTGATTGCTGGACATGGGCACCAGCGACCCCCGTGACCCAAAATGGAATAAGCGGGTAAAGAAAATGGATGGATGGATGGATGTAACTGGGACCCTGTGTACATAATTTTGCTCCACCACATGTACTACATGTGGTGCGAATGACAATAAAGAAACTCTGACTCTGACAACACGACTTTTTAATATCACATACGATCATCTGCCCCTTCAAGTGAAGCATTTCTTTCTCTGCCCTTAAAAACAACCTCCGTCCCTAAAAGAGTAGTGGGGACTAATGCCAAGGCAGTCATACGCGGGCAGGAGGAGCCCAAAGGCAGCCGCAGGCAGGCACCTGGAGGTTTCACATGTGGAGTCGTACAACAACGAGCAGGGACAGGGTCGGGCTTGACTTACTTGATGAAACTGTCAAGTAAGTCAAGTAAGTCGAGTAAGGCGGAGAGGGGGAATGCTTCACAGAAGCGGAGTGCTTAAAAATGTAGGTAAATATGTTTAGCAACCCGTTAAAATAAACCAAAATGCAGGAAATCGCTTCTACTTTATTCAAAATTTCTTATTCTAGACCCCACCCAACAACACCCAATGTCCAGTAGAGTAAAATGTTGACTGGTTGGTTGGACGTGGTTGAACTATCCCTTTAACTGTTCTACCAAATCTAATGTTTTTCTTTAAGCTCATGCGAGATCATTTGTGTTATGGTTCTTTTTGCTTCTCTTCCAGGCATCATCTAAAAATGACATTACTAAAGTATGCAAAAAAGTCACAGAGGTAAGTCTGAGAGCGAGAAGCTGTGAGTATTTGTCCTGCTGAGGCCACAAACGTGTCTAACAAAGTTAAGTCAGGTCCTCTGGAAGGATTCTTCTTGTTGAAATGTTTCATCTTTCATCCAAAAAACTTCATCAGTCCAAGGAGCTGCAACAAACTCAGTCTTATAAATAGCACCTTCTCATAGTGGGTCAACCAGTTTACTGTTTGATCCACTATGAGAAGCACTATGTGCTGTTAGCTGTGTGTTGTTAGCTGTGTGCAGTTAGCTGCTAGCTGTGTACTGTTAGCTGTGTACTGTTAGCTGTGTGCTGTTAGCTGTGTGCTGTTAGTTGTGTGCTGTTTGCTGTGTGCTGTTAGCTGTGTGCTGTTAGCTGTGTGATGTTAGCTGGTAGTTGTTTGCTGTTAGCTGTGTGCTGTTAGCTGTGTGCTGTTAGCTGTTTGCTGTTAGCTGTGTGCTGTTATCTATGTGCTGTTAGCTGGTTGTTGTGTGCCGTTAGTTGTTAGCTGTTAGCTGTGTGCTGTTAGCTGGTAGCTGTGTGTTGTTTGCTGTGTACTGTTAGCTATGTGCTGTTAGCTGTGTGCTGTTAGCTGGTAGTTGTGTGCTGTTAGCTGGTAGCTGTGTGCTGTTAGCTGGTAGCTGTGTTTTGTTAGCTGTGTGCTGTTAGCCATGTGCTGTTAGCTGGAAGCTGTGTGTTGTTAGCTGGTAGTTGTGTGCTGTTAGCTGTGTGCTGGGAGCTGTTAGCTGTTAGCTGTCTGCTGTTAGCTGTGTACTGTTAGCTGTGTACTGTTAGCTATGTGCTGTTAGGCTATGTGCTGTTAGCCAGCCACCATCACTGTGTTTATTTGAAAGGCTATGGCCGGGATCATTACAACATCTTTCCTCTCTTTCTAGAACTCCCTCTACAGCTGCATCACCAAAAATGAAAGTAAGTTATTAGTTACCCCCACACCACACACACACACACACACACACACACACACACACACACACACACACGCACGTCAGTTAAAACAGATAGGGTAAGAAGAAAACCCTCTTTTTTTACAGTAAGAGTCAGAGTCAGAGATTCTTTATTGTCATTCAGACCTCATGTGGTACATGTGGTGGAGTGAAATTATGTACACAGGGTCCCAGTTACATCCAACAATAAAATGTCTAAGAAAAACAGTAATAACATCTAAGATATGAACTAAGAAAAACATCAACTAAATATACACTAAGCACTCATAACATAAAACATTGAACATCAGCACAAACATGAACATGAGTCTGTGTGAGCAGATGTGCACGCATGAACACATCAACATTGAAACAGATTAGCATCAACATGAAACAGATCAGCAGCAACATGATGTGGTTTTTCACAGTGATTATTCTGGTTAGAGATTCATGAGTCTAACAGCTTCAGGGTAAAAGCTGTTCCTCAGTCTAGTGGTTCTACACTTAATGCTCCTCAACCTCCTTCCTGAGGGGAGTGGGGCAAAAAGTGTGTGTGCTGGGTGAGTGAGGTCCTTCATGATGCATGTAGCCCTCTTCCTGCGTCTATAGGTGTAGATGTCTGTGATGGTGGGGAGGCTGACTCTGACTGTCTTCAGTAAATATATATATATATATATATATATATATATATATATATATATATATATATATATA